TGTCGTTATCTTCTACCCAGAATTCAACGGAACAAAATACTGCAATCGAGGCTCAGTTGGCTTGGGTAGGGTTTGATCATTTGTAGACGCTCCGAGATTTTGTTTTGCTTGAAGGTCCACATCCAAATTACCACTTATTCTGCAGCACTATGGGGAAGTCAAGCACGCTGCACTGTGAAGTTCAACTGCTAGATGACCAAAGTACAGTTTTGGACCTAGATGTAAGCTTTTTCTATTTTGTAAACGAGTATTTTGGTTCCAAAATGGTGGATATAATGTTAGTTTGTATGCAGCGATAAGTTTATGTTTGCTAATAATTACCAATAGTTCGCGATCCTGTGTTATTCTTCTGTGGCTATGAACTACAAAATGAAATTGCAAAATTTCACAGAATATATAATATTGAGAGTCTTGCAGAAAGATCCGATGCGATGTTGATGAAATTTTTTCGGATTCGCATATGATCACATGGAAGTCTTTTGTCTTTGCATAGACATATTCCCGTCGAATAATTCTGTAAATTGACAAATTTACCAGGATATTGGAATAATTCGCTTGCTTGGAAAATGTGTAAACTAGCGTATTTGTGGTATGCGTCCAGCAGTAGTTACTGGCATACAATAGCTGATTGTGTTAACCGTGCTATGACTACAGCTGTAAATAAATTTTCATTTCAAAGAAGCCGTTACGTTGAAAACATTCCTGAAGGAAAAAAGCTTCTTTTAAACCCAGACAGAGTGATGATAGATCTTTCTGATCCTATCTGATCTTACATTGAGTTGTGGTCGTTAATTCTTAACCCTGGAAAATTTTTTATGACCTTCATACAAATTTAAAAACAAGCCATTCGTTGATCATAAATTTGCTGGTGTTTGCCAATCAAGAACAGGCCTAGAAGTTATCGAATGTCTGCTCTATTAGTACAAGGTTGAAATAATATTTGTTGACATGTTGTCTGTTTGGCAGTTAGCTTTTATCTGAAACTGATATCCCAACTTCTGGGTTTCTAGCAAAATGATTATTAATAGTTGAAAATTACCGTCAATTAAAATAGCAAAGTGCCTCTCAGCTGTTCAAAGGGCAAGGAACCAAAGTTTCCCATTATTTTTTTTTTACATGTAAAATGTACTTTGATTAATCCATCTTCAAACCCAGGAGATTACTGTTTATTTTTCTCTGAAAACTGTGTACATAATAGAGGCACACTGTATTTTATGTACAGTGTTTACACGGGGGTCTGGTCTGGTCTGAAGTCCAACCAAACAATTATTATTATTTTTTGTCTAATTATACTTTCTATAAAGTCAAAATACTTAGAAATTAACCGCTAAAAAAGAGATGCAATGTTATAGAATTGTGATATTGAGTTGAATGCACACGTAGATCAGTAAAATCTTTTGTGCAGGGAGTGGTCTTTGTCCTAATTACCAGTTTAAGTCACTTGTTTGTAATATTATTTGCAGAAAAATGCAAAGGGTCAAGTTTTGTTTGACAAGATCTGCGAGAAAATTGAAGTTGCTGAGAAGGATTACTTTGGTTTGCGATACATTGACGAAAAGGATGGGCAGGTATTTCACCATAAAATGCATTAATTAACATTTTCCAAATACAGTGGAATCCCAATTTTTTGAACCTCAAAGGGAAACAAAACTTGGTTTGAAAAATCAGGGAGTTTAAGAAATCAAAATCAGCTTTAGTTTAATGAGAAGTTCACTCTTGGTTGCAGTATAATTGGTTGGACCCATTGAGGCCTATCAAGAAACAGCTCAAGCACGGTAAGGCTTGTACATGGATTCATAATTCCTTTTTTAACCAAACATAGTGTACATTTTGTCCTTTTCTATACAATATGTTACTTAGAAGTTTTTTTGTTGGACTATTGTGAGTTAGGCTCGTCAAGGTAGTTTGTAAAAAGAAAGATTGTAGTCAGGCAGTCCTACATGTACATATAACTTACACTTTAATCTGTAGATAATCTGTAGAACTCTGTGTGTTCATGTAGACAGCTGTTACTTGAAATGTTATTGCAAATAATTTGATGGCCATTTTTCTAGGCCTGGTGAAACTAATGTAAAAGTATACATACAGCAACATTGTATATGTACAACCCAGTGTTTTGTTAAAATAAACTGGAAGATATAAAGTTAAAAAAAGTTAAATCAGGCCTGTGGACAAATTCTGGAATTTATCCTCCTAGTTCAAAAGGAGAATTTTTTTTCTTTATAGAACCATATCATTTCTACTTTGCTGTCAAGTTTTATCCACCCAACCCAACTGCTCTTGTTGAAGATATCACAAGGTAAGAAAATAAGATAATAAATTATTGTAACAGAGTGGCTTTCATTTGAGTGTTGAAAAGTAATTGGGTTAATTCGCATTTCTACGTTTCACGATTGGCTTTAAAAACTCTCGCCACTTGTCATCCAATCAGAAGTAAAACCAAAACCAATCTTAATTTGCTTGTACACATCTTTCCATCCTTCACATCAGCTATTTGTATTTGCTTTGAGTTTTGATTGGTTCACTGTGTTGTCTATGTCCTTTGTGATTGGCTAGAGCAATTACTCTGGGCTTGGTTTTATGACACTCAATTGAAAACCGCTTTAGTGTAATAACAAATCAGTGTTTTTGCTTTGTTTTGTTTTTTGTTTTTTGTTTTTTTGTATGTTAATTTCTTTTTGAGTGGTAAATAGATGTAAATTTACAGCACTGCTCAAAAGTAAGTTAGCACCCTCTCCAGAGACTAGACTCTCATACCACGAGACAAGACATGCATCTTGCAAGAGCTGTAAAAAACTGTCAGTACAACTGCTTGAACTTCTTGTGAGATTTTGATAGCCTATTGTAAAGCAATCATGCAGCAGCACCGAAGAAACAACACAGGAAAACTTTGCGCTCTCTGAGGAAGCTTTACTTTTGAGTGCCACCTGAACTCTGTTGCCTACAATGTTCATGAGAGATTGAACTCTTAAAATTTTGAAATCTACATGGCTTGGGAATGATATCTGTGAATATATGCTACAAATTTTTATGTTTTAAATCAAAAACATTATTGTTTGTCACTTCCACAGTGTTAAGACCTGTACACTGAAATTGCTACCCAGTCTTTTCACGGTTTGAACAGGTGGAAGTACAGACCGTGTAGACTATCAGACTATAATTGTGGTTGTTCATACTTACAGTATATGACCTTTATGTGTAATTTTATTCTGAGCAGACCAACATTATTTCATGTAGTATTTATCAGTTTAATTATTAAGTACTTTTGTGTAGGTACTTGATGGTTTTACAACTCAGAGAAGATCTTCTTAAAGGAAGGTAAGAAGGATGAAAGGCACTAATTAAGAATAAGACTAGGAGCAGCTTTCTATCGCTCGT